TTTTGACCAGTGAGAACTTAACATCTCTCAAAATCAAACAAAATGTTAGCAATCAAATTGCCTGTGTTCATTGTGTTACGACAGCCTAGTTAATTTATGAATGAGCAATCTCAGTATTCTTAAGTTTGTGATATTTTTAGAAATAAAATAATTTTAAAAAGTATGAGGCACAGACATTTGATGATGATAGAATTTAACCCTTTTGCTGCCAGGCCCTGCACTTCACTTTTAAACTCAGGTGGTCAGACCATTTTTGCAATTTTGCTGTTTTTTTTAAATCTTTCCCTTACAGCTCTCAGAGTTTGTAAAAGACCCCCCAAACCATATATTTTCTGAAAGCATAGGCCCAGTAGAATAAAAAGGAGGTGTTACTGATTGTTTAGGCCCTGTGATACTTGCGTAAACGTTTATCAGGCCAATAATTTTGTTAAAAATACATAAAAATCCTTATTCGCAGACACAAACACAGCAAAACTTAAAAATATTCCTGCTAAATTTCTACTAAATAAAAAAATCAAAACTGTATTAAGTTAACAAATAACAAATATTTGTACATTTTAAATGTTGCCTTTTTGTGAAATGGTGAAAACTGACAGTGCGCAAAGCAGTAAATAAAAGCAATTTACTCTAAAATCTCTTTAAAAATCTGAGGTTATCATTTTTCACTTACAGGTTTCAAAGTTTGTAAAAGAGCCCCAAAGCATGCATTTTCTGAAGGCACATGAACCATAGAAAAAAAAAACTGCTACTGATTTTTTTAGACCCCACAATAGTTGCGCAAATGCTTATCAAATCGCTATTTTCACTAACAATACACTGAAATAATTTTTAGCAGACACAAACACAACATAACTTACAAAATTCCTGTTAAATTCCTACTAAGGCCTCATTTACATGGCGTACTAAAGTGTATGTCCGAGGAGGGCCATTCTTTATCTGCTCAGGGATGCCCAGGTGTTCCATGCATCCCAGTGTAGGCAGTCCCATTCATGCCAATTGGGATGCAAAGGTTGCATAGGCACAACTGATGTACCCAATCTGACATCCGTGTAAATGTGGGTGCAGGACCCCAAATGCAGACATTTTGAGCTCAGGGACAAGCACCCAGACCCACATAGATGTCAAATTGGGAGCAACATTTTATTGGGGGGGAGGTGGATTGGAGAGATACCTGGAGTCAAAACAGACCCCTGATATTTCTTTTTCCAGACAGAGAAAGGGACTGAAGACATAGTCCTCAGGTCCCTTTCTCTGCATATGAATGAATTGAAGTATCTGCATAGACACACCTATTCATTCATAAACTGGAGCATAGTAAACACTGTTATGCTCTAGTGATGAATGAACATAGGAGCAGTCGGTACCGATCGCTCATTATGTTCATTAAGGAAAAGAAGTAAAGACGTAGACACATGTTTACCATCCCTCCATCCTGACAGCTATTTCCCTCCCAAGCATCAGCTGCAGCCTGCAGGAGGGAAAGCCAGCCAGCTGCACTGTCAGAAATCGTGTTGGGGGATCAGCGAGGGGAGGGCACTACGGGGGGGGCCAGGGGGAGTACTTGTCAATCCTTCTGTGGCTCTCTCCCCTGCAGCTCCTGAAGCCAGGGTAGGGCAGAGGAGGGAAGGCAGCTGGGGGAAAGCCAGGGAAGCCAGATGTGGATGTTTAGTGTTGCGAGCAAGCAGGAAGGATCAGTGCACGGGGGGGTTGTCAAATGCACTGTTCTGAGGGATCAGTGTGGCAGAAGGGGGACATAGGAGTATCACTGATACTATTAATAAGGTGCTATTCCTTCTACTGACACCAATGATTGGGCACTATTTTTGCTGCAGTTTTTGGTCAGAAGACCAGAAAACTGGCCATTTGTTCGGGAAGTTTGGAAACACAGGAGCTCTCCATATTTTTAATGGTAAATTTAAGAGAAAAACAGGGATTTATACTCCAAATACTGTCATTACTCTTTAACCCCATAGAGTTATCCCAAAACAAAAAATTTTCAATGGTTGTCCTTTAAAAAAAACCTGTACTGGGAAAGTATGGAGGTTTCAATTAATAAACTATCTGAAAAAAATGGCTGCCCTGATTTCATAGCAATCCAATAACCTTATTATTTTTTTTGACATGGAACAAGTTATACAAAAAAGGAGATCTGCTTTAAGACTTTATGCTTTATGCTTGCTTGTTCTCAGTAGGAAACTCAAAAGAGCCAGGGGCAGCTAAGCAAGTCATACTTTTAAAAGGTCATCAATAGCAGCCCTCATTGGGCTAATTTACTAAAAGAGTTGCGAATATTTACTAAAAAAATTCCTTTACCAAACCAAAATCCATATATCTTTTGGAACAGGTTTGCTTTAATTTATAAATATACATTAAACTTATCACTAACCTTTACTTTCTCAGCTGCTGTCCAATACATCACCGGAGCCACAGGCGGATCTGTATCCAGGTGTGGAATTTCCATTCAGAACTTATTTTTTGCTCTTTAATTCTATGAAGATGCTGTGTGATATTTGATAAAAACAATCTTTGTGGTTCTTCACTCCAGTAGGTTATGTGTAAATATATCTAGTTCCTTAATGTTGGCTTGTGCAATTCAAACTGAAATCTTACCAAAAACAAGGAAGTAAGCAAGAAGGAAATGTGTCAGACAGAAAAATACTGGGATGACATATGTACATTGAAAATATTTTTTTTCTCTTGAAATTACAATAGTTGAACTCAAAAATGATTATGAGTTTTACTTGTTTATAGTGATGAACAAACCATACAAAGCTAGTACACAGTGCCCAAATCCCATTAAAGTCTACAGGAGCTGAATCTTATTTATTATTTTTTTCTGCCTTTCTTCAAGGCCAGTTTGCAAGATTTTGGTAATAAAGGGCACGAGTAGATGGTAGATGCAAAATTGCAAAAATAATTGAACAGTAAGTGAGTTTTTTAATGAAGTTTAAAGGGCAACACATTAACCCCTTCCCACTGATAGTTTGTATATATGTGGCCTTACTGGACTGGGCTTTGTGCTGTGGGGCCGCATATATGCATATCTGTCTTTCTGCTGGGAGCATGCTGCACAGCGGGTCCCGTACTAATGATCGGGACCCAGAAATTCTGGTCCTGGGTCACTTGAGTGCTATGATAGCCTCTGATTGGCTATGACAATGATCAGTCACTGTGAAGCCCACCCCCTGCATTTTCTCATTCTCTGAATAGAGGGGGGAAGAAAAGAAAGAAAGAAAGAAAGAAAGAAAGAAAGAAAGAAAGAAAGAAAGAAAAAGAAAGAAAGAAAGAAAGAAAGAAAGAAATTAAATACCTAGATCAAGAGTTGATCTAGATCAGTGCCAGGGTTAGTGTTTGGGTCAAGTAAGGGTCCAAGGTCAGGGTCAACGGGTCAAGGTCGATGGGCATGATCAATATATATATTTTTAAAATTAGTATCTGTGTCAGTTAGTTTTAGGTAGAATTAAAAAAAAAAAAAAAAGCAAAATGTGCACTATTGTTTCTGGACTGTACTACAGGTACAAACAATTACTAACATACACATACTGTATGTGGTATCACTGCGATCATCAGCAACAGAATTTATTTTGGATTGTTCTTTGGTGGTAGGGTATGATAGTAGCAAGAAATATGCAGCTATATTTAAAACATCTTATTTTTTTTGCTATTTTGGGCCAGTTTTCCTTTGGTAATAAAAAAAACAGGAGCTAGCCATTACCATTTACCACCAAATGAAAGCCTAATTTGTCCTGAAAAAACAAGGTATAATCTGGCTGGATGCACAAAGTAGATGTGATGATATGTACGGTTTTACTAACACGTGTCAAAAGTGCAAATTGTGTTTAAGCATTAACATTTGGATGGAAGGGGTTAAATAACATGCTTGCTGGATGCCATAAACCTGTATATAAAGTGGAATACTGAAAAAAAAAACTTGCTGCTAAATGACTGTTCCAATCCTTGGCCTGCTTCTGTTTTTAAGCAAAGAGGCTGGAGGATCCTGGGTGATAGCATTGGCCACATATGGTCATGTGGAGCATCGCTCAGTGAGAATTGTGAGTTTATGGGTGAAGTGATACATGCTTTTTTTGGGGGGAGGGCTCTTTTAAGCAAATATTTTTTCAATGCTGTGTGCTTTAATTACTATTTACATTTTTTTTTTGTGAATGAGTAACAAGAGGTACTATGTAATCCATATTAATTCACTTAAAGGGGGTAGTAATACTGCCACTAAATGAATGGTTTTCACCTACAGCAGGAGGTGAGGCAAACTGGCCAAATTTGGCCATTTAATTCTTTTACTTGGTAAACCGCAAAAAGTGTGTTGGTTCGGGTCAAATCCATGGTCAACTAGAAGCTAATCCCTACCTATCTACTAATGTAAAACTAGAACACAGGAGCACCTAGCTTGCATAAAAGGATAGGTGTTTATAATGTTCATAAAATATATGAAGAATATTCCAAGCCATGACTTTGTAAACATTTGCGTAGCAAATGGTTTACACTAAACAGGCTCTTAAAAGAGAACTATGTTTTTGTTCAGTTTATGTTCAGTTTAATTTAAATGTTTTTATTTATTTGGTGAAAATATGTTCATCATGATTGATGCTGGATTGACAACGCTGATTTTTTTTTTGTGTGTGTGTTTATTTGCAATTGACTGTTTTTAGGAATAAGTAGGGGTATGTACCCCTTACTCATTCACTCCGGGTGGGTTGGAGGAGACAGCTATCTAGAGGCCCTTTATCTTAAAGGGGGATTCAAAATTCCAATGGGTGCCCACCCCTAACATCTTCATAATGGGGTTCCCCCCCAGTGATGAGGGAATGTGGCCTTTATTGGTAAAGTGTTACTAGGACCCTACATTCACTATATCTGGTCTCCCACGGTACACAGAATATGGAAGTGCAATTACTTGCAGTCTTGTGATTTCTATCAGTGTCCAGCCGAGCACTGGTTAAAGCTAGTAGGAGTTTTCATTTTGCTCTAGGAGGATGCAAAACTCCTGACCTCTGTCTGGACAGTACTGATTTGCCCTGTGCTGATCTCATGCACTCTCCCAAGAAAAAAACAAAAAAACTCTGAAGCAATACACACCAAACTGAGCATGTGCAGAGTGACACAATATGTCTTCTCGGGAGATAAGAGAGGGAAAGTGGAAGAAGGGGAGGATCAGAGAAGTCAAGATCAAACAGCATATTTACACAGTGCAGAGGATTAGGTGTCCGTTTATGACACAGAAAATAGCTGCGATTCAGAGGATCGCAGCTATTCTCTGGTCATTCACAGTTTATGACACTCAGGAGATCAGAGGAGAACTGTTCAGCTCTTCACTGGAGATCTGTGTTCTCCCTCCAGATTCTCCAGCCCAGAGCTGGAGAATCGGAGGAACCGCAAACTAAGCAGCAATAATTTACCTCTGCTTAGTAAACTGATCTTTTACTGTTATCTCGAGAGATTATAGTAAAATCATCAGTTTTCCACCATTTGTAGACCATTCTCCAGCGTTTGGAGACCGTTCTGCCTTCGTTCGGAGAACTGCTTCATAAAAGGCATTCACAGGAGAACTGTGTTCTCCGAGAATGCCGGAGAACTGAGCAGCGATCATTTATCGCTGGTTCATAAACGGACACCATAATTCCTTAGGTTTCACAGTGAGTATAACAAGCATGCTTTACTGCATATACAGACTGATTTTACTGTTGTGGGTTTAGTAATACTTTAAGCAGGATTGGCCTGCCAGGTGGCATGCTAAGACTAAGGGTCTGGAGGGAGGGGACACCATGTCATTTCTTTTTGTTTTGCTTCCCACTCAAATTAAAAAGAACAAGGCATCCGTAAGGTACAGCCTGCCAACGCAGGTGATTAATCACCCCAGCACAGTAGTTTATGTGAAACAGTGTTACAAATCTTTATTGATAATTAAAGATAAAAATGATGTCTTCCAATCATGAACCATCCTACGTTTACACCCAATAAAACACAATTAAAACAAAATAATCCAGATTGTTGTGCCCCTATGGTTGGTTTGTATTCAGGGGCACTTACTGGTCATAAGAGCTATACATATGAAATAGAAGCTAATAACTAGCAGATAAATTAATTACACCTCAATTAAGGACATCAACAATGAAAAACACTGTGCACACATTAAGATAGTAATTGTAGTATGTGTATTGGCGTCTTGAGAAGCATTATTGGCTTCTCATTAGGGCCGTCAAGAAAAGTGAAAGCCTATTAAGCAGAGGTAAGTCCTTGCATAAAGCAATAGGCAAACAAAAGCAGCTGCTGAGATCTCAAGCCCATAACAATCAAAGGTATGTATATATATAAAAGTCCATAGACGCAACAACAATGAGGCAAAATTATGTTGATTGAGATGGATCCTTGTTCAGTATTCAACACTATATGACTTAGGTATAATACAGGCTAGGTTTGTGCAGACTGATCCATCCAAATAAGTCAACACAAAGTATAAATGGCAGGAAACAAATATAAATGGCAGATAGGAAGGCTTTGCAACAGCAAGAGAGGAGCTGGAGTAGCAGAGTGTGGATGGAAAGAGCATATTAGTCATACATATACTATGTCACACACTTACTGCTACCATTCCAAGTAAATCCCGGAAGTCCTCAATCCTCGATCCTTTCCATGTTAAGCCATGCAGTCGGCGTAATAGCAGACTGAGAGTTCTTGCATTCCAGATGCCTCTGTTGTATTAGAGATGATCCGGTATTCCAGGAGTAATGTTGTAGCTCTAGCATAACTCAATTGACCAGGTCTGGGGACTCCACCAAGTGCTAGTTCAGGGCATAATAATGTAATAACTTTGACCCGTTTTGCCAGCCAATCATTGCGGACTTCTTCACAACGAGGAGGGGACAGTCTCCTGCTTGTTTATATACCTACATTTCCATCATAGGTCTATGATAGCACCCCCTAGTGTATAGATGTCATCATTATAAAGTATCTTATTAAAAGAAATCTAGGTTATATAGTATAGATCATTAGGGTATTATAAGTTCCCATGTACTGGAGGAGATTTCTAGTGGGATCCACCTAAAAGTATATAGCAAAAAATCATCAGTCACTTTTTTAGGAATCAGATATCCCCAGCCTAGTAAAGGAAGACTTTAAAACTTAGCTCGGTATTTAACCTTTTTGGGACCAAAGTCCCTAATGTATACATCCAGAATTTTTCTTTCTGGAGTAAAACTCAAAGTCTCCTTTTCTCAGTGACAATTTCAGGGCAAAAATACCTTTTACTTTAAGACCCTCAATTTGGTCTCAACGTACATTCCTAAAATGTTTAGCCAGGGGATTTTCCTTTTCCTTGTCATTTATTTATTTATTTATTTTATATCTCTCAGATGTTCACTGATTTGGATTTGTAACTGTCTTTTAGTTTTTCCTATGTAAAACTTTTTACACGGGCATTCCATCATATATATGACTTTACTCGTACTCGTAGAGCAATTTATCAATCTTTTGATTTCATAGATTTTAGTATTGTCTGCATCTGTGAACATCTGTGTTTTTTCCACTAATGGACATATCTGACAGTGACCACAAGGGTACATACCAGTCGTTCCAGATAGATTAGTCAGCCAGTTTTCTGTTTTGCTGCTTTTTAAATTCAGATTTAACTAGGAAGTCTTTTAAATTGGAGGCTCTACACACCACCATATGAGCTTTATTCCCAATTATCTCTGCCAAAGTGGGGTTAGATGGTAAGATATGCCAATGTCTTTGTAAAGTATTTTTTACCTCCTTCCGTTGTTGGCCATGTTTAGTAATACATCTTGTAGGATCCATACAATCTATTTTTTGTTGCTTGCCTCGTGTGTTCAATAGAATTTCTCTGTGTGTCAATTCAGCACTTTTCTTTTTGCTTTTCTAAGTACTCTATGTGGATATCTCCTTTATCTAAACCTCATGTACATAGAAGTAGCCTTTAGTTGGAATTGGGAATCTTCAGTATAGTTTCTCAGTATTCAGAGAAATTGACAGGCAGATATACCCTGCTTCAAGGTCTCGAGATGGTGGCTATCTGCATGTAGCAGCATGTTTGCTGCCATCTCTTTTCTGAATGTTCTGGCTATAAGATGACCTTGTCCAATAGAAACAGACAAATCCAGGAATGAAATCTCCTTGTAATCATAGCTAAATGTTAGATTGATAGTCCTATTATTTAGATTCAATCCCTACATACATTTCCCAAACTGTTCTACCGTACCGTTCTAAAGTATCAAGATATAATCTATCTACCTCAGCCATCCAAGTACATTGATGTCTGGTACACAATCTTCTGTTTTCAAAATCCCAGGTGTAAGCACGCATAACCTGGGGCACAAGGGGCCCCATCAACGTGCCGTGTACTTGCTGGTAGCTCACACCTAGGAATTGGAAACAGTTATGGTTGAACATGAACTCTAGTAAGTCCAGGATGAATTTGTTTTGGGCTCCCATTCCTGGGTAATGTAACTCAAGAAAATGAGTCACCGCTATAAGTCCCAATTTATGGGGGATGGACATGTAGAGTGATTCCACGCCCACCCCTGCCAATAAAACTCCTTCTGGAACCTCAATTTCTTGAATTTTAGATAGTACCTCTCTTGTGTCTTGGATGTAAGAGGGTGAGGTTGTAACCATGTCCTTAATTATGTCATCTAGATACTTGCCAATCTTTTCCAATGATCCATTCACTGTAGATACTATGGGCCTACCTGGTAGTTTTAAGGGATTTTTGTGAATTTTAGGTATCACATAAAACGTTGGTATGTTAAAAGTATCTGTCTTCAAGAGATCATACTCTGATTTGGTTAGAAGATTGACGTTATAGGCCCAGAATAATTTGCGGTTCAGCAAATCCATAATTTTCTTAAATGGATTTTCAGGAAGCCTAATGTAGGTACTAGTATCACTTGTCTTTTGACTTCTTCCTCATAATCATCATTATTCATTAAGACTACATTTCCTCCCTTATCACTCCTTTTTCTAATTATATTAGGGGTGTTTTTTTAATTCAAGGGCCTTTCTTTCATCCTTGGTTAGATTATATCTATGTTATCATCATTTGAGTCATTTCCATCAAGTAGACTAATCAGAACCTGAAGTGCTTGTTCATCCTGATCCTGGTTTTCAATCTGGGTTAGGAGTACATTGTGTATAGCTCAAAGTAACACCTTCCGTAGAAATAAATTGAAATCACCAAAACCTCAAAGTCACTCATCTTGTTCATTAGAGAGAAAGAAAGTCCCTTTTGTAAGAGTTTTTATATGTCTAGATTCAAGGTGGAAATCTGATAATTAACAATTTGAAGGTCTATCTTATCTTGTGAAGGTAAATCCATCTTATTTTTTAATTTAATCAGGTCCTCTGACTTCTGGTGCAACCTAGAGTATTTGTTTCAGCAGTATTTTGTTTACCTCCTGTTTCTTTGATTTGTACACTCCCTTGACTGGTTTTAGATTTCAGATGTCCTCCCTGTTCGGAATCTGTTGTTTCTGCTCCTAAAAATTAACAGTTTTTTTATTACTATCTGATGATTGGGGGTCCCTTCTTGTTTGAGTATATCTTCTACCTCTGGATCGACTTCTCCCTCTGGCAGTTGTAAGATCAAAGATCTTACCCCTACTCCAATTGTCAAGATCCTGTTTAAATTCCTGTTGTTTTGTTAAACGTACATTTTTCTGAACCTTTTCAATTTCCCTTTTTAGCTGTTCATTACATTTATGGAATTTGAGGTAATCTTTAAAGGAGTCCAGAGATTTAGCACTATCTTCAATTTGTTTTGTTAATTCCGATAACTGTAGCTTTTCTGCATCAATTATTAAACACATAACTTTAATCCCTTGTGCAATGTATTGTATTTTCCATTTTTCACAAATTCCATACCAAATCCAAACGGTCTGGTATGTATTTTAGGGGAATGCCCAAATGCATTTACAAGACAAAGGAAGGTTGCAAGGAATTGTGAATTAATGACATTTTAAATTTTTTTTTTTTTTGTATCACTTTTGACATACTACTTTGTTTACATGGTAGAGATGTACCACTACACAAGCAGGTTTGTTAAATTAATAGTAAAGTTTTAGAGTTCCACGTTCAAATTAATAAATTCACTGCTCCCTGCAAAATTATATTTTTTAAAACTTTTTTGCATTGGAATGAAACCCCTGGGACAGTACCCAGGTCCATTGACTGATTCAGTTCCCATGACACCCAATGACTTCATTTGGCTTCAGATTTGGCATTCAAACTTTTGATATGTTCAGCTAAACATCTGCAAAACAAACCCAGGTGTGTTTGGCTCATCCCTATTAGGTACTATTTAGGAAAAACTTGCAAATATCCCATGCCCTATATACCTCAACGTTGAATGAATGTTTTTCCTGTAGATTCAGTACTCTGCATAGGGTCATGTAACAACAAAAGTTCACAAATCTCAAAACAAAAACAAAAACAGGGACCCAAAGCATCCCACCATCTAAGAAAGACATTTAAAAACACAATACCAATAAAAGGTAAATGACCATACAATACAAAGTGATTACATAAATATCAGAGTATCAATTAGAGATGACTGGAGTGCTTTTTAACAAAATGTATTTATTTATTTATTTCAGGTACTTATATAGTGCCGTCAATTTACACAGCACTTTACATTTACATATATATATTGTACATTCACATCAGTTCCTAACCCTCAAGGGGTATAAA